AGACACACAAAAATATCCTGCCACGATGGGACTCAAGGTGTCTTGCCTTGATTCATCTGTGCCGCAAACATGTCAGGTGGTCATATATGTTGAGCTGCGCAATCAACCTCGAGGGTACCTTAATCTACTCTTTAGGGTTTAGGGTTCACTTGCATATGGTGGACCCCTATATGTGACTCCAAGCATCAATCAGGTAGCTCATCTCATGGACAAGCAGCTCCGCAACACCGCCGATGATATCGAAGATGATGCCTCAGTCACGTTTTCAGACGGCAGCCCCTNNCCTCGGTCTCCAAGCTTGTTAGCTTCTCAACAAAGCATCAAGATTCGGGAGGGCTGCATGGAGGTTGTAGCTGACGCAGCAAGGTCTTACGTGGAATTCCCCAAATTCTCATATATAAGCGGCTTCACCTAGCGCCCCATCCTGCTTTGCACTAGAGCCCCAACAGATTGTTGAGATTCCCCAACAGATTGTTTAGATTCCGACCTGCATCCTGGGACTAGCCGAGCTAGGCTACAAGGATTCAGTTGCAATAGACTATAAACACTTCCTTATAAGTGCCCGAACAACAGTAGAATAGGGGTATATAAGGACGGAGTAGAATAGGGGTTTATAGGGGTATGTAAGGACTGAATAGAATAGGGGTTTATAATGGCTAATAGTTCATCCTGGAAAACATAAGGCCTTAGAAGCTAGGTAACCCAGAATACATGAAGCAGTCCACCTGGATCCTTTGCGTTTCATCATGGCCTGAATGGGGTCGGCTTTGGTGGCCGCATGCTCTGTATGCAGACCGTGCGCTCAATGCGCCTTCAGCTTTTCTGAAAAATGCCTGCTGTTTCCACATGAACCCGGACGAGGCGGAAAAACTGCCTACCGTGTACTACCGTGTATTCCCGTGTATTTGCCGCTTGTTTAATTGCGAATACCGTGTATCACCGTGTATGACGGTATAAATTCTGTGGCCCCTCGAGCACAGCTGCTTTGGGTCGGGTAATTCCGCTTTCTGCGCATATCTCAGCTGCCATGTCTGCCGAAGAAGGTCCATACGGGCGTCTCATCGAGGATGAAAATGGGAGTTACTTGGAAGTAGCTCCGCGACAGTATGTTTACGTGACTCCTCCCAGGCCAACCCCTGCAGGTGCTGATGCTGACCCAGGCGCCAGCGTCAGCCCCGCGGGCAAAGCTCAGGGTAAAGCTAAGGGTAAAGCTAAGTGTTCGCAAGTGGTTTCTAAAGGTGTCGGCAAGAAGGGTGCAAAAGGGGGCAAGACTGGGCCTAGCCAGGAAACCGCCTCCTCAAGTGAAGGAGACCCCGCAGGAGAAGTCAAAGGAGGGTCCAAGGGCGGGTCCAAAGGCAAAGGGTCGCGCAAAGGAGGATCCAAAGGAGGATCCAAGGGAGCTGCAAAGGGCGACACAGCTGCATTGAAGGACAGTTCAAGTGTTGCAGTGTTTCGAAACATGGGAATGTGTGGGGCTTGGGGGAAGGGTCCAAATCTACCACAAACATGGTCAACCGAGCCTCCTGTTATACTTCCTTAACGTGTTTTGCGAGCGTGTGCTGTTTTCCATGGATTCCACGCGGTCTTTGGGGTTCTGGGGGTCATGAACTTCTTGATGGGTCTTTAGTAGGTGTTTTGCCAGGATTTGGGATCCTCACTGGCCAGCCAAGGTGCCAGTGCCGCGGTCGCTTCTGATGACAAGGCTATCGCGAACCCTAAGGGTAAGAGCAAGATGCTCTCGAAAGGCGAGGCCAAAGGATCCGGCAAGGACCAGGCGCACGGCAAAGGAGCCAGCATTTTGCAGGCATCCACAGCCACACCAGCAGAACATATCAAGGGCACACCGCCAGCTGATGGATCAGGGAAGGGAACTCGCAACAGCAAAGGATTCCCCAACAGCAAAGGATCCGGCAACAGCACCACGCAGCAAAGCAAAGGATCAGAGAAGGGAAGCCCCAACAGCAAAGGATCCAGCAACAACACCACGCAGCAAAGCAAAGGATCAGAGAAGGGAAGCCCCAACAGCAAAGGATCCGGCAAGAACACCGTGCAACCAAGCAAAGGATCAGATAAGGGAAGCCCCAGCAGCAAAGGATCCGGCAAGAACACCGTGCAGCAAAGCAAAGGGTCAGAGAAGGGAAGCCCCAGCAGCAAAGGATCCGGCAAGAACACCGTGCAGCAAAAGGGGGCAGCATCCGAACCAGAAACTCCCAAAGGCAAAGGGGTTGGCGAGCAAGCCAAAGGATTGGCGCACGAAGCAGCTAACACCAAAGGATCCGGCAAGAACATCACGCAGCAAAGCAAAGGATCAGATAAGGGAAGCCCCAGCATGAAAGGAGCTACAATTGGCAGCGCCCAGCACAGCAACTCATCGCCTGAAGCCACAGGGTCAGAGAAAGGGAGTCCTGACAGCAAAGGAGCGGGCAAGCAGCACCCCAAAGGATCACAGAAGGGATCTCCCGCCAGCAAAGGACCTGGGAAGAATGCACAGCAGGCCAAAGGATCGCAGAAAGGAGCTCCAGACAGCAAAGGAAGTGGGAAGAACACGCAGCAGGCCAAAGGATCAGAGAAGGGAGCTCCCACCGGCAAAGGAGGTGGGAAGAACGCACAGCAGGCCAAAGGATCAGCGATTAAGGGAGCTGAAAACGGCAAAGGCGGTGGGAAGAACACGCAACAGGCCAAAGGGTCAGAGAAGGGAACTGGCAACGGTAAAGGAGGTGGGAAGAACACGCAACAGACCAAGGGATCCGGTAAGGGGGCTGAAGGCGGCAAAGGAGGTGGGAAGACAATGCAGGGATCAGACACAGCAACACCCGGCAGCGCAGGGTCGGGCAAGAGCAAAGGTAAGTCGAGCACTAAGGCAGCAACAGATGAGAATTCTGCAGAGCGGCAATCTGCCCTCAAGAGGCCACAAGAGCATACAGAGGATACACCCAGCAAGCCTGTTTGCAGAAGAGTATCCTTCAGCTCGGAAGTCTCGACCAGCCCAGGCCAGCCATTGAACCCATGGATTTGCCTTACATGCAATCATTGTGCATGCATGATCGAGGCCCTGGATCGACAACCGCCGATGACAGCTCCCCAGAAAAGCTCCCTGTCTATAGCTGGCTTCGTTGAAACTCCCATTGGGTTTGAGGCTTATAGGGTTTGGGGTTTCGGGCGTTGTCTGGGAAATCTTGCTTCCGATGCAAAGCCACTTAGCATTAATTGGTAGCCCCTTCTAAACCCTGAAGGCGAAACCCTAAACTTTATACAAACCTTGCACCCTGAACCTTAAAACCCACAAACCCCGACCCGCTCAAGCCCCCCGAAGTGCAAAGGATCAGCCAAGACATGTTGGATTTAGATGACAGCTCAGACTTTTTTTCAAACCAGGAGATTCTAGGTCTTACTTGGGGGGTACACCTCATGTTGGACTATCCTACCAGCCTTCTTTTCCCCCAGTCGGGCTTCATGTAGTCCCTTAAGAAACCTATATAACTTTTGGTAGGATCTCATTTCAAGCATCTCCAAGGTCCATCCAGCGGTCGAACACCAGCGTCTCCCAGTTAAGCGACGGTACGGGGGCACTGAACCTGGAGCCGCTGGTTCAGAGGGCTACTGCGGGGAACAAGATGGCAACTTGGGTATGATTAAAGAAGCATTTGCAATATAACCGCAGGGATACTACACAAATTCTGGGTTCTGTTATCATCAACTGCAGGTACGGGCTCTCACCGAAAGCGAGAAGAAGATGATTGAGGCCTCTCATATGGGATCCTGAAACGTTGTTGCTTGATTGACCTCGTTGCTGCAGGATCTCACCGAGCCGGGCCAGGTGCCATTAGCAATGAGGAAGCGCGTTAATGAAGCTCTGCGACGTCGGATGACGGGCGGTCAAGGCCATGTGTTTCCTAAACCCAAACTACCAAGTTCTGTCTGTATCCCTAGGTCTGAAGAAGGGAATGGTGCAACAGTGGGCTGCTGCAAGCTCACCAATGGAGAAGTTTCTTTCAGAATTATTTGCATCCTAGCCCAAGTCCCCCCATAAGCATCCCCATAGCCGATGCCTTTCCTAGCTAAGGTTTGCCTTTTTCAAGGCATTTCTCCTTGATCGCGATTGCTCGACGATTGTGGTGGCCAGCTACTTCGAAGAGACACTTACCTTATTTAGTGCGTGCGGTCATCTTCAAGCCCTTTCAGCCTGCTATGCTATGACATATCCTAGGCTGAGCGAACAGAAGACGAAGGAGAAATTCGTTGAGCTGCCACTTTGCCTCATAAAGGAACGCTACGAAAAGCTTCCAGGTGGAAAGGAGCTGATTGCCGACATTCTGAAAAGCCTTTGCCTCAAACTTTCCTGTACTGACTAAGCCCTTTGACCCCCTTTCGGTATTCTGCTCCGCTAGGTCAGAAGGGTCGGAAGCACCCTCAAAGCGATGACGAGCAGATGAAAATCTACAAAGTTTTCGATTCAATCGAGAGCTCCCGAGCCCTGGTGCAAATTTAGTAACTCCCATTCCTATAAGCCTATAGGTCCCAAGCCCAGGAAGTCCATCTTTCGCCCAGGTGCGGAGGTGACCCGCATGGGCATCCGTGCATCAGCCTCCGCGCAACCTTCTGCGAACAAGGCTGAGAGGGGCGCTATTTATGAATTGCTGGAGGCCAAGGCGGCATCTATGTGTAAAACCGCTTTCTCGGATGCCACAAGCACAAAGAAGCCGGCAGCCCCAAAGCAGAAGAAGGCCGGGCAAAGTGACAATGTGAATGAAGCAAATATGGCCTGCACTGTTTCCAAGTCCTAGCTGATTAAGTGCTGCAACCAGGAGTTAAGCCAAGAAGAGCGGGAGAAGAGAGAGTTTAGCCGGGATCTTCAAGCGTGGCTCAGCTGAGACTCTAATTTAAAACCCTGACCCTCAGCCCTATAAACCCTAAGCCCTATCAGGATCCGAAGTTTGGGCGACAAGTCCGTGGCCGTAGCAAGTGGACTTGGCAACTGCGGGTTGGAGCATCAGGAGGCTACAGAGCTAGAGTTCCATGCTAGGCCGTGATGATGAGTTGCAATTTTCTCACATAATCCTAAGGCCACCATTGGAGCCCTCGCAGAGATCACCTCCTTCTGTGAGCGAACACACTCTGAGCGCCTGGTTGCATTCTCATGCTGTAATGAAACTAGAGAGCCTCCGTGGATATGCGCAATGATTGCAGGATACAACATATGGTCTTCTCGAAGAAGCCCTTGGACGACTGCATTGCTGCTATTGCTTATTATAAAGATGAGCTGGAGGCCCTGGACCATTCTGCATGAGCCTTGCTTGGAATGTGTATACCTCTTGCCTGACTTAACTTCCTTGCCTGCCAGAAAGCTACCTCTAAAGTCATCGATGCCGAATCTGTTTGGATGAGCCACGCGAGACGTGACTTGATTGCACTTTCCTGTCACCTTTGGCAGTCATAGGTGCGTGACCATGTACTGTTAGATAGCACATCATGTTCTACTTGAGGCGTTGCAGCGGCAAAGCGAAAGGCAGAGAAGGAAGCGGAAAAGCAGAACAAGAAGCAGAAAGGGAAAGGGAATGCTCCGGCTTGGGAGGGTGATCTCCCGGGGGATGCAGGGGAGGAGGAAGAAGAATGGGATGGTGAATGGGATGGTGAAGAAGAAGACAAGGAAGAGGAGATGGATGATGCAGCAGCTGAGCCGCCCGCAAAGCGCAGGCGGTGATTCACATGTTTAGTTGGGGTAGTGGCATGCGTGCTGCGGGGTCTGGTGTTCAGGATGGGTCTTTCGGCCTTGCAGTTAGGGTCTAAACGAAGGTATGTCAAATCCCGATAAGGTCTACTGGCTCATCCTGATGCGCACTGCACTCATACTTAAACTACCGAACTAGTACTCCAGCCGCATGCTACCTGGGGATGATTCCGATGCGTGGGGCGCCTGCGCTGTCAAAAGTCGGCTTATATGCATATGTCTTTTGACCGAGCTGCCTGCAAAGCACAAAGCTGCTCGTATGACCAGTGTTGACCACTTGTGCGCCTAGCTGTGCTGGCTCGAGCTGATGCGGTTCTTATATGAGGATTCGGGTGGGTCAGGTTGATGTTTGCCAGCTCAAGGCGAGTAGAGTTCATAGGGGTTCAATGGCTATATGTCCTATAAGGGTCCTACTGAATCCTTCCCACATGTCTGTTCCAGAAAGCCAGAAGATGTACTGGGCACCTAAAGATCCTGAGCCTACTTCATTATGGACTTCGACATGCCATGTCCCAAGATCACAGCTGGCTTACTCGCTTTGTTCAAGACACGTCTGAGCACATTCTTGGCCTGCTATCCCGAGGGCAGGCAGGGGGGAAAACGATTACATATATTGAGCCCCATCAATTGATGAAACCAGGACATAGCCCATACGTACATAGGTCATGACCGGGCTTCTCTTGGCCAGGTGCCGTTGCAAGAACTGTCCATTGCCTTGAAGCGATTGCTGGAGATCCCGCGCAGCGCTGTTCCGATCCTGAGCTACATTTTGTTTCTGCTCCATGTAGAAAACAGGGTTTGAGGGTGGGAATCTAAGGCCAGATTTGCTGGAGCTAGCTCATGGCTTCCAAAGCGAGTCATGGGGAAAGATGCGAGCTTTGGAAAGATGGGCTGCAAAACAACATTGGAGGCAGGCGTTGCCTCAGCCTTTCCAGTCCCTGGGTGATTATTAGCGTTTGTGCTCCACATATAATGTTAGCCGAGTTTTGTGTTTTCCTAATTGTGGGCCTGAAACAAGGATTCAGCTCAAATCTGCCGGAAACTCAGCTACCCCAACTTAACAACCTATTGGGATTTGTGACACCAGCCCCAAACATCAGGTCTACGAGAATTCCCTGGGGAGACGTGTTCGAATGGTGAACCACAATATGCTTCTCCCTCATGAAACATTTGCGGCCCTCTACGACCATGGTCTGTTCGAGAAACTTCTATGCCCTAGTGGAGCCCCTTGGATAGCAATCAAATCTCAACTTGAACCTCTAACTCCCCAGCACTGCAGGCCACCGAATATTGGAGAGAGCAAATGGGGACGCAATGGTATAGAGATCATCCAATCCTCAATGTTGCTTATCTGCAAATTGTGACAGCTTGACGTTACAGAAAGAAACACGAACGAGAAATCCAGGACCCAGCTATCAATCTTGATCAATGCGTGCCGCTGCGTCTCTACGGGGACGGAGCTGAGTCAACTAGCTCCTAGATATTGCAAGGCTTGTGCTTTCTTTATAACCTTTTACTTCACACCCCTTATGTACGAATCGCCTGAGGAAAGCAGTGCTTCGAGGTATTTGCTCTAGTCGCTCCACTCGGATCCCCGTCAACAATGGATTCGAGATTCCTGACCCTTGCCCAAAATTCATACCTTGGTGTCTGTTTGCAAACTTGGTAGACGCGATTCCCAGGATATCTTGCATGTCGATGATGTACCACCGAGCAGAGTGCCGCAATGCTGTCCTGAGAGTGATCCAATGGTCCTTTAATGCGCTGAGCTACTGGCCTTCTTAACTAGGAGAATCGTAAATGGATTTCTTTCGTGAAGATTTCTCACACAATAAGGCACCGGGCGATATCCTCATGCTGACCCTTACGGGAGAGAATTCTCGGCCACCTACTGCCCCCAAAGGTTCAGGCGGGCGGGGGAGTTCTTGGCTGGAGGATACATCGGCCTACTGGACGGTATCCAAATGGATCTTGATTTCGTGAAAAAATGCTTCGATCTGAAAAGAATCTTGGCTATGCCTTACAATCAATTTTGTCAAATGTAAAGTAACTATGAATCCTACGCCATGCAAACCCTGAATCCCAATCTTCGCAAACAAAACCCTGGTATCCACTCCCTGCCAGCTCAGGGGATTACAACCGCAAACAGATGTGTTTTCAATGCGAAGACACTCGGCCTGTTTGTGAATGAGTTTTAGGCCGCATACTTTCAATCATCCTCTAGCCCACATTGTAAATGAGTTTTGAGTAGCCAGAAACTGTCAATCATAATATAACCCCACTAGAAGTTCTTCCAACGAGGCCCTTGCATGGATATACGCTGAAGGCGATCCAGAGGGGGCACCCAACAACCCGGAGTTACTCTACACTGCATTTGGTGAACAGGCTCTTCACAGGCAAACGTTCCTCGAAATCATTCATGAATGCATGGAAGCAGGAAAAAAACTAGCATGTCAACCCCCACGTAGCTAGCATTTTCCGTGTTACAGTGTTTTCAACCGAAGTTCTGATTTCTGAGGCTCATATCCGGGGCGGAGGAATTCATTCGGATTCACGGGGCCAGTCCGTTGACACAGGTTCCCGGCTTCTCGCCATGGAGATTCTGGGCTCGTTTAAATTTGGCAATCTTCCATGCATCTTCGAAGTTGCGGTCTTCTTATTTCATTTCCGGTTCCGAATTCTCAATTTGTAAGCCCTAAACCTCCATGTCAAAACCAAGGGATCCTCCCAGACACGATGCATTTACTATATCTGGCCATTGTTCCTGATGTTCTGACGAGCTTGCTATCCGACCTGACTGACGGCACCCGACGTGAGGATGCACTTTCCGCGCTGTGGGAAAACTATAGAAGTTGGTGTGAGGACCAGGGCCACTTGTATTATTTTATTCGTCCAGTGTTGGGCTTCTTCGGTGTAACCTCGGTATTAATAGTTTCGGGAGATAGTGGTTATTCGGATTACTGTTTTTATACCATGGGATTTCGGCAATCTGTGTTGAAATGGTACACGAGGTATTGGTGACCGAGCTGATAGACGCCTCTTTAGCTCCGCTGTGCTCAAACCCAATGGGTTCGAATATGTGAGCCTGAGCCAAAAGATCCTCTCCGCTGCAGCCGCGCGGTATTGCCTACTCTGGGCTGCGCAACTCATGCGTTCCGAGCTGGCACGCCAACCTGAAAATGAGTTTTACCAGAAGCTGGCTGCAATATGTCCATTTTTCTTGTAAGCTTTCAGCTTCCGCTATCTTCGCACGCTGGCTTTTCCACAGTATGTTTGAAACATGTAAGGCTGAGAGCTGGGGTGGTCATGTCCATGGCTCGGATGGAGGAGCTGATGTGCCTCCATGAGCTCTTCCTCTGCGCTCCAGAATTTTCTTTATTAGGTGCAGGGTATAATTGTTCTAGAAAGTTTAGGGTTTAGGGCCCGAAGAGGCCCCGAAGTAAACTCAAAAAAGGCGGGTGATGACGAGCGATGCCGAAGCTGAGTTCCGCGACCTCTATGTCATTTTTAGGGCAGGCTACAACAAGTTGAGCTCCCATGCTCTGGAAGCCTCCCGCTGTCGCTGGGGCGCTCGCCCCAAGTTTCATTATTTCGAGCATTTAGTACTGGACATATCTCCCTATAATGGGAGATACATGCACAATTTCGCCGGGGAGGATTTTGTTAGGAGAGTCAAGGCTATGGCCATTGGATCACATCCTGGGTTTTTATCCCGCCATGTGATTGGGAAATACTCCCTCCAGTGTTGCCTGGCTTGGCGG